GGTCACGCGCTCCGCCTGAGGCCGCCCGCGCCATCTTGGTTGAGGGCAGGCGCCAGGCCCTGGGGCGCGCCGAGCAGGCCCGGCCGGGTGCCCGAGGCCGGCTCTGGGGGCGGTCCCTGGGGCGCGGCTTCCCCGTCAACCCCGCCCGCGCGGCCACTGCCCCTCCCACCCCGGGTCCGGCCCCGCCCAGGGCAGCCCGTCCAGGGTCGCTGGCCGCAGAAGCCCCGAAATGGCTGCGGTAGCCCTGTTTCTGCGCGGAGCCGTTCCCCTTGCTTGCCCCTGCCGGAAGCCCGGCAGGCCCAAACGAAGCCTCTTCCGCGCCCGTCGGCATCTGTCCTGCAGGGACGCCTATCGCTAGGACTGGGCCGTAGCCTTGACCCTGGGTCATGACCCCCACGCAGGGGCCCGGGGCGCCCTGTTGGCATTGTGGACACTTGAAGATGCAGAGACGGGAAGCCTTAGGGGTCTTAGGATGATGGGGGCCGGGAGGCAATTCTTCCTCCTCTTTCTCCCCTCTCCTCTTTAGTGGGTCTATTCTCATGCGCACCCAAGTTCCAGCTCCTCGGAAGGCTGAGGCGGAAGGATCGCCGGAGCCCAGCCGGTCGAGGCTGCGGTGGCCGGGAGCGGCCACTGCCCTCCAGCCTGGGCGACGGAGTGTGACTCCAACTCAAAGAAAAAACAACCACCAAAACAACAAAGTAACCTTCTGATAATGGACCTGGATACTTGGAATGGAGTCCCTAGTGGGGTAAAAATACATGCTGGAAGTGGGGCACGGTCTAACTGCTTTTTCCCAAATGTTTATTTACACTCGGCAGTTACAGTTCATTATTTATGGAGGCTGCTTTCGGCTAAATCCAATTTTACAACAGCAGGATGTAAAAGTACGTAAGGTAAGTAAAAGTAAGCAATTCAAAATCAAAGCTGTTGGACCCTTAAGTAATTTGGAACCTTAAGTAATTTGGAGCCTAAAAAGAAGGTGGCCGCACTTGGTGGCTCAGCCTGTAATCCCGCGCCTTGGGAGGCTGAGGTGAGCTTGCGGGTTCGAGACCCGCCTGGGCAACTTGGTGAGCCCTCATCTCTACAATAAATCAAAAATTAGCCGGGCGTGGTAGCGCGCTTGTAGTTCCAGCTACTTGGAAGGCTGGGGCGGAAGGATCGCTGGAGCCCAGCAGGTCGAGGCCGCTGCGCTCCAGGCTGGGCGAGGGAGTGAGACCCCAACTCAAAAAAAAAAAAGAATGTGATTATGTGATCTGAGTTGTATGACAGGCCACTGTAGCCTTTGCTCCTCCAATTACAGTTTAGCCTTTTCTTTACCTACACTGTTTCATAAAATGTTGTAAAAGACTAGAGGGCACCATAGAAGACCCCTTCCCTGTTCACTGTTGATCTTCATTATGGATTAACTTCCCTCTTACTTCTCTTCACAACCATCAGATTCTCTAAGATGGAGTGCTAAATTTACTCTTAAATTGGAAAAAGAAAAGAAAACACTTGTAACGAATCAACTTGCTGTAACTCAAAAACCAGCCTTGTGCGGGAAAAAAAGTAACCCTGATAAATTTCGTTGTGTTCTGCCTGTATAAACAAGATGTTAACTTTTCCATTTCACAGCACTGACCCCGTTCTTTGGCGTCCGTGTTACCTGAATGACTATTTTCAGCTTTGAGCTTCAATAAACTCCTTTAAACTGGATTCTAGATGCTGACAATTATTTCAGGTTGGCAAGTATGATTCCAATAGTGTTAAAATTATATGCACACAGACATTTATAGATATATGTGAAGTATCATATATGGTTTTTATTTTGTACTTCACATTTTTCTGCTCTTTCCAAATTTTCTGTATCAAACATTCATTATTTTTATGGTGAGAATTAAACCAAAAGTGCTTTTTAAAAATCAGAAAGCAGCCGGGCTCGGTGGCTCAGCCTGTAATCCCGCGCCTTTGGGAGGCTGAGGTGAGTGGATTGCCTGAGCCCGCGGGTTCGAGACCCGCCTGGGCAGCAAGACCTCATCTCTACAATAAATCAAAAAATCAGCTGGGCGTGGTAGCGCGTGCCTGTAATTCCGGCTACTCGGAAGGCTGGGCGACAGAGTGAGACTCCCAACTAAAAAAAAAAAATCAGAAAGCTAGGCCGGGCGCGGTGGCTCACTCCTATAATCCCAGCACTTTGGGCGGCCGAGGTGAGAGGATTGCTTGAGCCCCACAGGTTTGAGACCAGTCTGGGCAACTTGGTGAAACTTCATCTCTACAATAAATTTTAAAAATTAGCCAGGCATGGTGGCGCACCCCTGTGGTTCCAGTTACTTGTCAGACTGAGGCGGAAAGATCGCCTGAACCCAGCAGGTCAAGGATGCGGTGGCCATGAGCATGCCAGTGCACTCCAGCCTGGGTGGGAGAGTGAGACTCCAATTAAAAAAAAAAAGCAGAAAACAGTCAGGAAATAAACAAAGGGCTGTCCATTCTTATAAATTGATATATTGATTTTTGATTTACTTATTTAATTAGTACAAGTTGATTTTCTGTCTTCTCAGGGGAGGGGGGAAGAACTAATACAACTTAGTTTCTGAACTTGTAAACCTGAGAGCCAGACCCTGGTGGATAAAACCTGTTAGCCACTTTCCTTCTCCCCTACCTATGCAGCCTTGTACAAATATGAGTCTTGAGATGTAAACTGGGAAGTTGTCAGCATCGAGAATGGATGAAGTCGCCAAAGGAATGAGTGTCGAGAAATATGAGGTCAAATTAAGCAACAATTGGATAAATTATACCAAGGGAGTCTCAGGGTGAGATTTCATAGACGTTACAAGAACCTGACTAACCACAGCAAGAGTTGTCAAAGCCCGCTAATCAGCTGTAAATCATTGTTGTAAACTTATCTTTGGCTGACCTTAAAGCAGTCAACTAACTCTATCTTCAAGAAACAGAACACCACAATCAATCAGCTGTCTTGCAAAACCTATCATACATAAGTAATTTCTCTCTTTCAAGACCCAAAGTATATCTCATAGATAAGTTCCCTCTTGCAAATGTCTCCTATATCACATAACTTCCCTAACACAGCACAAAGCTTCTCAGCACAGCCCAATAAAAATTCCTCTAGCCCCTGCCTCCTTGCCGACAGCAAATAGCCTCTCTCTGCTGCTCTGCCCACTGTTTCCTTACAGTGTATCTTCCCTTAAGTAAACCTGCCTTCCTAAATTCACAGCTGTCTTGGTAAATTCGTTTACCACCTGTGCAATACTGGCCTCCACTAGTCATATGCACGACAGCGAGTGCAAGCAGAGAACGGATCCAAAGGTGAGTCCTGAGATGCCCCAACATTTTGAGTTCAGGAAATGCAGAGAAGGAATGAGCAAGTCCCCATCTCCTTGAGGACGAATCCAAACTCCTTAACGTGGTTTCTCATGATCTGTTGCCGCCACCCCCCAACTCTCAGTTTCTGAACATACCATGCTACAGATGCCTCTGTACCTTGATTGATGCTTTTCCCTCAGCCTGGAAGCCTTTCCTCCTTGTCTCTAACTAGTCCACTCTTTTTATCTTTCTCTTTCTTCAATACTCAGTTCAGTCATCTTTATCTTCACTTTCCTTGGCCTCCAGGTCACACTCCTGCCCCCTACACACAGACACACACACACACACACCAATTTCACTGAGGAATTTGGCTCTTGGGCCTGGCTTTCTTATGATCCCACTCATGTCCCTGCGGGTGGCCTTCCCTTCCTGGGCCTTAGCCCTGTGACCCTCCTGACGTCAATTACCACACCCTTCCCCATGGTGGCCACACTCATGTACCCACACCCTATCACTTCTTAAGTTTGTCCTAGCCCACACTGTCTTGTTTTCACCATCTCTGTTCACTCCGAACTCGCTCCTCTGCAGGACTGAAGCTCCGTTCCCTCTACTCTCCCCATTTTTCTGTCTCCTCCAGGCTTTGCCTGGAAGCCATTCTTCCACCAACAACCTGCCTCTCCCTGGGGCCACCCTCGCATATC